TTGCTGTATTTTTTATGCACCTTCTTTGTCGCACCTTTCTGCAACTCCGTTAGTTGGCTAACCTCCCTCCGTGCTACTTTGATCTTGCCCTCTAGCCTCCTTCTCCATGGAGGGTACTGCTCCTTTTGGCTGTTCAACTTATAGACAAGCATCTCACTGATCACTGCTGCCGTATTGTAGATCAGCTTGTTAGTCTCTGTAAGCGTGGCTGTAGGTATCATCCATAGTGCTGCATCGAGCAGACCTTCTGAGGGTACTTCACGTAATCTTGGTAACCGGCTACGGGGGATCCAGGTTTCAAGCTTGGCCATGATCCTATCTTTCAGGTCAGTTCCTCTCGCACTCAACGATCCTTCTCCTATCGCACTTGGGGCTTGGTACCCAATCTCGGGTGGGAGTAATGATATCTCCCCCCTGACCTGGCATCCTGACTCCTCCTTGCCGTAGCGTTTATGTTGTACCTCGTCAATCTCTAGCTGTGAGAGCAGTCCCTTCTTTCAAATGTTGGAACACTGAGCTGCTAGTTGTTTCGCCGTCATTGTGGATGTTGGGTATTGAAGAATCGAAAATATATTTTACTCAGTGTATTCCCATTTCTCAAAGGTTTGTGCAGGGAATGCTCGGCTACTACTACAAGAGTGACCGTGAGGTCCAGGAGGACTCTGAACTTCAGAAGTGGATTTTGGACATTTTTGAACACGGATTCCTTTCTCAAGCAGAAACAGGTGGGCTTTAAACAATATTTCAATATTTACGATGATGATGATAATGGCAAATTTATCCATTTATGATTATACTGCAAAAATAAGTAACTTTTGTTTGTTCGCCTAAATATATTTAAGTGACACAGTTATTTTTCTGTGTTTAACAGGAATTCCTCAGAGATTTACCTGTGTGACTGCGTTGGTCAAGTTTGTCACCATGGTGATCTTCACCTGCTCAGCCCAGCATGCAGCTGTGAACAGTGGACAGGTATATAAACCTAATTCAACCTAATTATTTAAAATGTAAATAAAATCAGAATCTTCATGTATTTACAATAGAACATAGTAAACATATGAAATGTTTAAACTGAGAAAGTGTAACCTTACAAGAAAAATAATGTCTCATTTTGTATTTGATGGCAGAAAAATATATTTTAAAAAGCTAGGACAGGGCTTTGTGCACAACTCTGACACACTGTAGCATCCGCTCTTCTTTTACCAACAGTCCATAAACATCTGGGAACTGAGGAGATCTGAGAGAGGAGTGTCCCATTCTTGTCTGATATATGATTCTAGCTGCTAAACAGTCCTGGGTCTACTGTGTTAGTGTTTCATTTCATGATGCATCAAATGTGTTTTCAACTGTTGAAAGGCCTGCATTATGAAGCCATGATCTTCAGATAGATGAAACACCATGATTATTGCTCTTATTAATCAGTTATCCTTTACTTCTTGATTAAATGCAGTATGACTATGGTGGCTAGATGCCCAACACTCCCATCTCCCTGCAACTCCCACCACCGACCACAAAGGGGATGACAAGCGAGGCCACGATGTTGGCCACCTTCCCTGACGTCAATGTAACAGTTCAGGGCATGGCCACCATGTGGCTGCTCAGCGAGCAGTCCAGTGACTTTGTAAGGAGCAAAGATTTCATTAAGAATGACAGAAATTATGTTTAAATTCAAGTTTTGTGAAAAAAAATACATATGTATGCAATAATTTTTAGGGGCAAATTTTATAAATAATTTGAATGCTGTTGAAGAAAAACTGAATGTATCATTGTTCTCATCAGGTTCCCCTTGGCCAGTACCCAGAGGACCATTTCACTGAGGAGATTCCCTGCAAGATATTAAAGAATTTTCAGACGGAGCTTGAAGATTTGAGTTTATTCATTAAAGCCAGAAACAAGCGTTTAGAAGTGCCATACACCTACATGGATCCAGCAGAGGTAGAAAACAGTGTGGCCATTTGAATATTAGAAGACTCAGCTGTGAGATAAAATTCAGTTCCCTCTTCAAATAAAAGCAGCCAAAGAAAGTTCTGACTTTTACTGATGAAATAGCAGAAATAGAACTTAACGCTTCTAATTATTGTATGCTGCTTTGTGAATTTTATCCATCTGCTGTGATGTGCTGTAGATTAGAAACTTAAAACCTCTTCTGATTTTCAATAAACTGTCCCATCCTTTCAAAAACATGTCAAAGAAAACCGATATTATTGTGAACAAATCATGACCCTTTTTAGTGATTTATTTTTGCTAAAGTCTGTCTTAAAGAAGTCTCAGCCTCTGAGCCAGTGTTTGAAAACATTTACCAAATTTTATTGTTTTTATTTTTAATTTTTTTTTAGCTTAAAAAAATTTGAGAGAACCACTGCATTTCCCCCATACAGACATTTATTTAATTTAAGAAATATGTCTCTCTTTTGTCTTAAATGCATGTGTATGTTTGAGGGCATGTTCTGTTTACCTCAGAGTTGATCAATCTGTGTTTGTCTGTCTCCCTGTAAAATGCTCACCTGCCAAAGCTCTACTAATTAACTCACCTGTTAGGGTGAGCTCATCTGGTCATCAAGCTGGCTTCTTAAGGCTAAAGTAAATACTCAGCCATCATTAGATTGTGCTCTGCCCTCTAGTTGTTAGTTTATTTTTTGGAGCTAAGCTCTGTTTCTGTGAAGACCTCTCACTGTATTTGGATTTCCTTCGGGTTTTTGTGACAGTGTGGGTGTATGACCACAGATGGAATTCATAGCATTACAGACACAGTTTTTTCTTACTCATTTCTCACATCCTGTAAATCCTATGTTAATCTTTTCCTGCTCTACAGTGGCTGTTGTTTAATGTTGGCCATCCTACACTTCTGGTTTCCGTTGTAGAAATTATTTTCTAGTTTGTTTTTTTTTTGGGGGGGGGGTTTGTATGGTATCTTGTCAGCTCTCATTACTATAATATGACTTTGCATTATACAGAGCATCATTTAACACCATCCATCCATTCGCTTCCGCTTATCCTTTTTTTTAGGGTCGCGGGGGGCGCTGGAGCCTATCCCAGCTGTCAAAGGGCGAGAGGCGGGGTACACCCTGCACGGGTTGCCAGTCTGTCGCAGGGCTAACACACAGAGACAGACAACCATTCGCACTCACATTCACTCCCACATTCACTGGTGACAATAGTTATGCTTCTTGTTATGTTATTCAGCGATGTTGAGTTTGGACTTTTTTTTAGTAAATATCTAGTAAATCTCTAATTCTTGGTTTTTCTTGTTTTTATATTCACGTTCCCTTAGTGCTAACTTAGTGCGTTAGTTATGTTCTCAGTCCTTAGTCTTGTATATTATATTTTTTTCCTAGATTTATGGGTCAAGTCTCCACCAGTGATTTTCTCCTTCCTGTTTTATTTTGGCAACCAGTGTCTGGACCGTCAGCTCTTTTCCTGGAAAAAATGCTCAACCTTCATCTACCCTGTCCTACATTTGGGTTCTCAATCTTTCACCATTTTCATCATAGCTGAATCTGATAACTGTGACCATTTTCATACTGTGACGTCATTGTCATATAAAAAAACAAAAAAAACCCTCTTTGTTGTATCTGCTGAAGGCAGCCATCAAAAGATAGGTGCACTGCAGTTGTAAAGGAAACGACATAGCCAGAAACAATATTCAAGTAACTTGTGGCTACAAGGCTCAGTTGGTACTAAGTTGGGCCCAAAATGTTACACCACCACCAGGCTAAATTGCTGAATTAAAAAAAAAGTATTTATACAGGTTGCCGCTGCCTTCCGCACAGCTGGCCTCCAGACCTGCTCTGTTATGAGCTATTTAGTCATCGGCCCCCAGGCCGACCCCCTGAACTGTGTTTGAACTGTTTTTGTGAGCTCTGATTTTGTTTTAAGTCCTGGGCCCCCCACCGCCCACCCGGGTTTCTGTCAAGGTCCTGGGAGTGACCCAGTGTTTTGTGTTTGACTCCCTGAGTCACTCTGTATTACCTCCATGCATCTTCCCATGTTCCACTCTGCTTTACCTCCGTGTGTCATCCTGCATATCATTCTGCGAGTCATGGTTTCAAGTTTGTGTAGTTTTCCTAGTTTAGATTTATCTTAGTTTCTATCCTCGCCACCTCTGTTTCTGTCTGTATTATCACATCATATAAATAAAGCTCACTCATCGCATCTACGTCAGTGCCTGCTTTTGGGTCCTTTTCCCTTCAATGCCACACAACTGCCACGGCAGCCATGAGACTTAAGACTCAATGTTTCATTTACAGGAGAGATGTTTTAGCATAACTACAGCAATAAAATAGAAAGGGTAAAATAATGAAAATTGCATAATATTTACAAAAATCAGTTAAAAGAGCTGTAAATCCTTCTGCAGGGTAAGGGGAAAGACCTCTTTCTAAACTCTGTACGAACTGTTTACAATGAATGTCATGAAGTCTTGAGGCCACGGCATGACTAAACATGTAATCTGATAAGAGGTGAGTAAACCATATTTTTATAGATAAAATACCAGTGAACCATCCTGTGTAGTTCTAGTGAAGACAAGTCAGCTAGAGAATATAAAGTACAGCAGTGTCTTAAAGGTTTACTGTGAGTTATAAATTTTAAAGCTCTGTGATGAGCAGAGTCCAACTGATAGAGAGAATGAATAGGGTCATACATGCAATTCATTCATTCAATCAATCATGTGGCCTCCTTTTTACCCCTCCTGGAGCATTGTAAAAAGGAGGTTAATGCAAGTTCCAAGTATACCGTATTTGCAAGAACCTTATTTTCTTTTTTGCTCTGAGACTCTTTGAAGACATCCATCATCTAGGCAGGTTCAGTCAGGTACAGCAGGAGCTTAAGCAGCAACAGGAAGAGAGCTCAGAGCACGCACACATTTTAGCTTTATGGCCCCTGAAACTAACATGCAAATGCCCACCAGCTACAGCTGAATCTGCTAATATTATGTATACTTAAGGTTTAAATGAAACATTACAATAATTGTTAGCTGGATTAGGGTTAACTAATTATAATTCAAGACATTGCAGAGTATATTATGTATATATAATGTTTTAAATTCTGCAGCCTGGCAAATTAAATGAAAGCGATCGTCTCACACTTGTAAAAAAGTAGAAAGAACATTTTCTTGTATCAAGTACTTGATCTTAGCAATAACGTACACATTCACTGAGCCAATGTTGTATCTACACTGTTGCAATATTCTGAACTTCCAGACAGAAAGGGAGCACATTCCTGTGTGACTAAAGCAAACCACCAATTACAAGAAGCAGTATTTGTTCCACAAATAGTACACCACAGAGCTCCTGATGATAAACTAATGCTGATTGCTGTTTACCTAATTCAGTTCACCTGAGCTTTATTTATATAGCACAAATTCACAGCAGTTGTAAAGACCTACAATATTGAAAAGATCCCCTGTGAGTAAGCACTTGGTGATGATAGGAAGGAAAAACTCCCTTTTAACAACAAGAGGCCTACAATACTGGGTCATAAGTTTATTATTAGTTCAGTTTATTAATTTTTATTAAAAAAAATCACTTTGGTTTAGCTTCAGATAAACCTAACCACTCGGCTGGATTACTTTAATGCACTTTATATAGGGTTCAGCACATCATATATTACCCATCTACAGAGGGTGCAAAATGCCGCAGCTCGTCTTTTAACTGGCACTCTAAAGTTTGAGCACATTTCCCTTATTTTAGCTTCACTTCACTGGCTGCCCATTTCTTTTAGGATTCATTTTAAAATTCTTTTATTTGCTTTTAAAGCCCTCAATGGCCTAGCCCCATCTTACCTCTCTGAGCTGCTACAGCGTTATACACCCACCCGCTCTCTCAGGTCAGCTAATCAGCTGCTCCTGAAGATACCCAGGACTGGGCGTAAACTTAGAGGAGATCGTGCTTTTGCTGTGGCAGCTCCCAAACTGTGGAATGAGCTTCCTTTAGAGCAGGGGTGTCAAACTCCAGGCCTTGAGGGCCGGTGTCCTGCAGGTTTTAGATCTCACCCTGGGTCAACACACCTGAATCAAGTGATCAGTTCATTACCAGGCCTCTGGAGAACTTCAAGACATGTTGAGGAGGTAATTTAGCCATTTAAATCAGCTGTGTTGGATCAAGGACACATCTAAAACCTGCAGGACACCAGCCCTCGAGGCCTGGAGTCCGACACCTGTGCTTTAGAGATTAGACAGGCCAGTTCTTTACCTGTTTTTAAGTCACTCCTGAAAACCCACTTCTTTACCCTTTGACACCATGTGAGATGTTGGTTTTTATTTTTTAGTTTTATTTTAGTTGTTTTTAGTTCATTCTATGCTGTTTTATCTTGTTTTGTTTTGTAATAGGGCTATTTTAAGTTTTATGTATTATGTGTTTTATTTATTTATTTTTGCTGTTTTCTGTTATCCTATTGTTTTTAACTTATTTTCTGTACGGCACTTTGGTCCTGTGCTGGGTATTTTAAAGTGCTTTATAAATAAAATTGTATTGGATTCAGTTAGTTTCCAGATTTCTTCTTTAAGTTTTTTTTTTATTGAAAAACTAGTTTTAGTTCAGTCATTGTCAGTTGAAGTTCAGTCAGTTGAATCAGTCATGTAGACATCCCAGCCTCAGACATATGTACCAAAGCTTCAAACTCATTTATAGATCAAACCTGAACAAAAAGGCCAAACCTAAGTGCATTTATTATAAGTGTCATTTTACTTCAAGACATTCAAATATTTCATGTCTACTTTTTATTTTAGCTTTACTAAAAGACCTCAACACAGAGTTGTGAATAATGACACTGAATGTTTCGAAGACTTTTCCATGCTGTACTTGTTTCTTTCAACTGATGAGTAAGCTAAATAAATTAAGTGAAACCAAATACACCGGAACTCATCACAACAATCAGTCTGTCATAGTTTTTTTTGGGTGGACTCAATATGCAGCACTGGTGCACTGACACTGCATTTATATAGACTGAACCAAAATTCAATAATGCCAACAATGGGAATTGTGAGCTACAGATCCTGAGCTCCAGGGGAAAACAGTTTGTAACTCATTCAGAGCACACAGGATTCCTCTGCAGAGAAGAGACAATGATAAGGCAAATGTATTATCTGTATTATTTTGGGGTCTTTTCCTTACAATATAAAGTGCCTCGATGCAACTGCTGTTGTGATGTGGTTCTAAATAAGTAGAATTGAATTGTATTGAATGCATGATAGCTGATTATTCTGTAAAAAGTTTTAAATAGTTGTACAAAAAAAAAAAGCAATACCTGAGGCATTGGCTGAGGCATTTTTATGTAAAGTTAGATATAACTTTCAAAAATGTTTTCAAAAACAAGGTATTTGAAATTGCGAAAGAGTTAGTGTCGATAATATGGTGGATCTCTGCAGA